CAGTTTTGTTTCTTAATTGACTTAATTGATTCCCACTCTAGGAAAGTGAGATTACCTGAGTTGTACAAATGACTATGACTACAAACCAAAAGATTGGTTTTCAAAAATGTTTTTAAAAAAGACTGGTCATTTATTTCTGAAAAACTAGCCAGTTGCACAATCCTACAGAGACACATGGCATCATCCAGAGTTGGAGTCAACTCTAAGGCAACTGACTTGGCTTTAATTGAAGAGATGAGTAAGAAAATGGATTGATGTTAAGAAAAAAACTTCAAAGTCTTCTATTGATAGAATACCATGTGCCTATAACTGAGGTAAATTCTTACACATTTCTGACATTTGTAGGAAAATAAAGGCAGCTTTATCAGAGTAGTGAGCTCTGGTGGGCTAGTGGGTAGGGAGTTGCACAGCTAACCCGAAGGTGGTGCCTCTCTAACAGTTTAGATCCACCAAGAGCTCTAAGGGAGAAAGATGGGCAGTCTACTCCTATGCATTTTATAGCCTCTGAAAACCCACTTGCAGAGTAGCTCTCAGTTGGTTCCATTTACATGGTAGTGAATCAGTTTGAATGTATGAAGAAACTAAGTGGTCTTTTCTTGCTTGAATCCTTAACACTTAAACCACTTCTTAACTGTTTGTCTCCTCCTTCTCTTTTTTTTTTTGACTGTATATTTTTTTAAATACTGATTTTCTTAACATATTCCTCTAAGTAAGGTAATTGTTTTGTATAAGAGGCTATGATCTCTGTCTTCCAAATTCTTGAGGTTTTTCACCTGTCTTTTCTCTTCCATAGCTATAAACAGGTAAAGTACAAAGGCAGCAAGCTAGCCAAATCTGACCCTGCATACTCTCTCCTGTCACTGTTTTAAATTCTTAATTAGTTCATGCCTGAAATACATTTCAGATTTGGATGGAGGCATTGGGTTTTTGTTTTGCATTTACACAGATAGAATTAACTTTGAATATTTATTAGGAGCTTGTCAAAATAATAAATGTTACTTTCTAGGAAAAGATGATACTTTTTATATATATAACAACATGGATTTTCCTTTCAGATATTTATAGATGCTTTCACCAATTCTTCCCAGATTAATTTGTATTTAGCGTAGATAGATAGTATGGTAATAAGGAAATGAAAACTATATTTCTATTAAAACATATTAGGCCAACTCTATTTTATACCCTTAAGAATGCTGTATTGATTTTAGAATTTTCAGATACAAAAGTTTCATTTGTAAGATTAAGTAATCGCTTGTTTTGAAGTTACAAATTTTTTTCCATTAGGAATCACTGGAGAGGCAAATTAAACACGCAAAATGCCTTATTGCAGACTTCAGCAAACCTGAGGTAAATAAACACTATCCATGCTTGAGAGTTGGGGATCGTGATTGCTAAATAATTATCAAATTAGAATAACTATATACATATATATGTTCCTGTGTGGTTTACTTAATGAATGTTGTCCCATCTAAAAATTGCACTTTATAATTAAAAATGGGAATTGGTATCATAAAAAACTTTGACTTTAGTAGTGATTTGCTATCATTGATAGTTAAAAGATAATGTCAATGATTTATATAAAGATAATTGTAGTAAAGGGTTGTCTGGACCAGGTAGTATGTATGATGCTTGTTTTATCCTACCTCCCTGCCTACCCTATACCCTCAAAAAACTAAAAAAAAACAACAACACACTTTTAAATTTTTAAATCAGTGGGTATAATTTTTTTCACATTAAATGTATTTGTGATAAGGCAACTACAGTGCATTATCAAATTTAGAAATGATAAGTAAAAAGAATTACATGATTTTGTATAAATGTTTTGTTGCTATTATTTAGTTGATAATAACTCATAAAAACCAATCATACCACTTGGAATTGAATTTGGAAAATACTTTTATGACATTTTCTTCTCTCAGCTTGTTTGCTACATGAAAGTATTTACATTTACTGTAAATATTAAGTTAAATAATCTTCTTAAGGCATTTAGGACAAGGTCAGGTGTTTAATAGACACTCTAATGTGGTTAATTTTTAATGTTCTCAATAGGCACCGTTGGAGATTCATACAGCTATGCTTGCCTTGGACCAGTTTCAGGAGAACTATAGTCGCAAGCCAAATATTGGGTAATATTTGTTATATAAAAGTACTTGTTTCTGTATTCTAAAAGCAATTTTATATGTTCTCACCCCTTTTTTAAGACTTGGGGATTTTTTTAGCTATAGCTTTTTAAAAACCAAAAACATTTGAGAATTTTTAAATTATTAAGTGTATTTTCCCATCTGACCTATTAATATTAAATTGTAAATACTGTTATTAAAGATTTTTGCATTGTATATTTAAAACTAAACATAATTTATTTGTAAATCTTAGTTGAGACAATCATAGATAGCATGATTTTAAAGCAATATTTGAAGTCATAAGTACTTTTTGCTGTTGGCACAGTTCAATATTCTTTTTCATACTTTGCTTTTATATATAATCAGTTGTTTCTAACAGTTGATGAAACAGATATCTGTATGCTCTGTATTAAATCCTAGATGCCAACAAGATTCGGAAGAAATGTTGAAAATCGCAACATCTATAAGTGAAACACTGGAAGAAAAGGTGAATATTCAAAATTACTGTCATCAGAAAATTTTTTCCTAATATGTGTCATATCCTTCAAATACTAGTTTTGCTACTTACTAACCCTGTAACACTAAGCAAGTTGCTTTATTTAGATATCTTTTAGATTATAAAATGGTCTGTGATACAACCTTGCCTACTGGAAATGAGAACTTGAAGCACTGTTTTAGAAGATTAAAGATTACAGCCTTTAATATGGATTGCATCTCAATGTCAAGAAAACAAAGACTATTACCACTAGACTGATAGGCACCAAACAACATCACAATGGATGGAGAAGAGATTGAAACTCTCAACGTCCTCATCTTACTTGGATACAGAAGTAACATCCTTAGTTTCAGCAGTCAGGAAATATGGAGACACATTGCACTAGGAAAGTTTATAGTTAAGGACCTCTCCAGATTATTGAGGAGTAATGATGTCAGTTTGAGGACTAAGGTACATCTGGTTCAGGCCATGGGTTTTCCATCACTTGATAGACATCTCAGAGCTGGACAATGAATAGGGATGACAGAAGAATTGATGCCTTTGAGTTGTGTTGTAGGAGAAGAATACGTAACATCCCATGGACAACAAAAAGAAGAAACAAATATGTATTGAAGAAGGTGTAGCCAGAGTGCTCTTTGGAGGCAAGGATGATGAGGCTTCATCTCACATACTTTGGGCATGTTGCTAGGAGAGGCTAATCCTTGGAGAAGGACACAATGCTTGGAAGGGTGGAGAGTCCGCATATGAGAGGAAGACCCTCGACCAGATGGATTGACACAGTGACTGCCACAAGGGGTGTCAGGAAATACAGGGATGACACATGATAGAACAGAGTTCAGGTCTGTTCTTAAGGTCGCTATGTGTCATACTCTACTTGACGACACCTAACAATAACAATTATTATTCTTCATTCTGTTCAAATTTTCTTGGTTTATTAACCCACTAAAACATAGTCTCCCACTTGCCATGACTAAGCCCTTTAATATGTTCTGTGTTTCTATCAATTTTATTTTGTTTGTCAAATTTCCATTTGAACACAACATCTAGAAGAAATTTTTTTTTATATTGGTATGCCTGCCAACAGTTTCATTTAACCAGTTATTGGTGCATCAGTGTTTGTGTAATTATTTGAATATACTACTGGTTTTTACATTTTACAAAAATGAGAGAGAAACTCAGAGCACTAATAGTAAAAAGTTAATCATATTTTTATATAATTAAAAATGGTAATAATAACAACTAAAGTCTGTGAACCTCAAAAGAAAATCTTTCATTGCATATTTCATTGAATAGGGAAGAGAGGGGAGCTCTGGTGGCCTAGTGGTAAGAAACTGCACTGCAATCCCGAAGGCATGTTGTTTGAATCCATCAGCTGCTCTGCGGGAGAAGAATGGACAGTCTCCTTGCAGTTAACGCCAGAGGGTTAGCTGAGTCGATTCTAACTCGACAGAATTCAACAACAGCAACAATAGGGAAAAGAAAAAGTGTATGAAAAGCTTAAAATAGATTAATTAAAGAAGGATTATAATAATATAACTAGAAATTTAACAGGCTTATTGATATATACATGAAGGAAATAATACCTTTTTTAGGATATACAGTTTAGTCTTCAAGATTTAAAGTGAGTTTGAAGTATAAAATCATGTATTCACTGTTATAATCAAAATATATAACATTACCATAAAGCGTATTATGTCTTTATGTCTCTCTCTAGTCCTTTTCATTCCCAAATCCTCCCTTATATCCTGGCATCCACTATAGTTTTACTCATTCCAGAATGTCATTTAAATGAAGTAGTACATTATGTAGCCTTTGTGGTTTGGCTTTTTGGATTACCATAATGAGTTTGAGTTTCATTCATGTTTTTGTGTTTTACTCCTTTTTATTACTGGATAGTATTCCATTGTATACATGCTCCATAATCTGTCACAATACTAGTTGATAGCTTGGATTTTTTTTCTCGTTTTAGCAAATAGAAAAAAAGCTGCACATTTGGTCAGAACATGTTTTAATTTCTCTTGGTTACATACCTTGGAATGTAATCTCCTCAGTTCTGCAGAGTGGCTACATTATGTGAGGAATGGGTATGCAGTGGTATTGCAATGTGGTTTTCATTTCATGTGTTTACCGTTCGTATCTCTTTGATAAACTTCCAATACAAATCTTTTACCTGTTTTTGTAAAATTTTCTATTGAGAAAATTTTCTGTCCTTTATCAGAAACCTGCTTTTCAGTTCTGTGCAGTGTGTTGTTTTATTATGATACTGTTTGATGAATAGACATTTTTATTTAGATGGTTCACTTGTTGGGTTTGCTAATAAATAACACTTGCAAGCAAGATCTTGCTGAAGATTATCCAAAACAACTGGAAGAGTCCATTTACAGAGAAATACCGGAGGTGCAAGCTGGGTTTAGGAGAGGTCAAAGCACTGGGGATTCATAGCCAGTATCAGATGGATCTTGACTGACACGTAAAATACCAGAGAAATGTCTTGTGTTTCATTGACAGTGCAAAAGCTTTTGACTATGGATCACAACAAACTGTGGCTAACTTTTAGAAGACTGGAAATCCTAAGACACTTAATGCTCATGTAAAGCCTATACTTGGATCAGGAAGCATTGGTCAGAACAGCAAGGAAATACTGCATAGTTCAAAATCAGAAAAGGTATGCATTAAGGATGCATCCTATGTTCTTACCTTTTCAACTTATATATGGAACAGATCATTGAAGAGGCTGGACTTTATGAGGAGGAATGATAACAGGATTGGTAGAAGACTCATCAACAGTCTGTGTTATGCAGATGATGCAACCTAACTCGCTAAAACTGAGGAAGACTTGAATTATTTGCTGCCGAAAGTCTAGAACTGCAATCTTCAGTATGAATTAAAGCTCAACATCAAGAAAACAAAGATCTCACCACAGGGCTAGTTGGCAGCACCATGATAGATGAAGAAGAGATTGAGATGGTTCACAATTTCAGATTGTTTGGTTCCACAATCAGCACCCTTGGCGCCAGCAGTCAGCAAATCAAAAGATAGATTGCATTGGGAAATCTGGTTTCAGGCACCTCTCCAGAGTGCTGAAGAACAAGAATGTCAGTCTAGAGACTGAGGTACACCTTATGCAGGCCATGGTCTTCTCAGTTATTTGCTATTCATTGGAGAGCTAGATAGTGACTATGGATGATATAAGAAGAATGATCAATGCCTTTGAGTTGTGATGCTGGAAAAAAGCATTGAACAGACAATGAACTGCTAAGAGAAGAAATAGGTCTGTCCTGGAAAGGGTGAAACCGAGTTACTATTTGGAGTCAAGGATTTTGAGACTCCATCTCCCATAGTTTCAGCATGTTGCAAGAAGGACCAGTCCTTAGAGAAGGACATCATGCTTGGCTGGAGGTACAACACAGGAGAAGATGATCCTAGATGAGATGGATCGACACCATAACTGGGGTAATCAAGGTAGATTTGTTGGGAATAGGTGTGTCAGAGACTGTAAGATTGGCTAGAATAGTGAAGAATTCAGGGCTATTGTAAAGAAGGTCACTGAGTTGCAGGTGACTCAATTGCACATTGTTACAACATGATTGGGTTTGTTTGCTTTGGAAGAGAAAAATCTCATCTAAGAAATCTTAAGATTATAAAAAGTTTCTAAGTATTTTTCTAAATGTTTTGTACTTTTGTCATCATTTATTAAGAGTTCCGATTAAGAATTGTGTATCATGCATAGTCTGTGCAAAGTTTACATTTTTTAATGTAAATATTCAGTAATTCTATCCATTCACTAATTCTGTCCAAACACTGAGAAGACTTTTATTCTTTCTATATTAAGTTGCTTTGTAATCAATATACTGACCATAAATGTATAGGTCTACTTCTGAATTTTTATCTTCCAGGGTCTTTTGCAAGTCCTACACTGTCTTTATTACTGTAACTTGTATAGGAAGTCTTTAAATCGGTTTATGCCTATAATGAGTTTTCTCAGAAGGAGCTCAGAATCAGGATATATTTCATTTTAATTTTTTCTTACAACCTTAAATGATAGACATCTAGCTTTAAACAGTACACAATTGTCGGTACCCATTTTCTTCACTGATTCTTTGCTGTTGAGAAATAGGATACAAAGCTAAAACCCTCCCTCTTAAATACTTTTTAAGTCTGGTGTTTTTGCCTTTGTCTTTTGTTATGTACCATTGAGTAGGAAACGACTCATACCTGACCCTTCAGTGGGCTTTCAGAGGCAGTAATTTGCACCAGAGAAGATTGCCCATCTTTGTCCAGTAGGGTAGGCAGTGGATTTGAACCATGTGTCTCTGCATTGACAGTGCAACTCCTTAACACTAAGCCACCAGCCTTGAGGCTCTATATTTTTTCCTTTTCTGTAAAGTATAATAGTTTTTAACACATCTTATCTTGAAGGTGGTAATTCAGTCAGTGTTTTGCACTTAGTGTGGAACTTTTTTTTGCTAGTGATAATTTTCACTGTATGTTTTTTTACTCTTAGGGAGCTCTGGTGGCATAGAACGTAGGGAGTTGAGCTGCTAACCAAAAAGAACCATTTCTCTGGTGGTTCAGATCCACCAGTGGTTCTGGAGTAAAGATGGGCAGCCTCCTCCTGTATGAATTACAGCCTCAGAAAACTTCCTGGATGATTCGTGGCAAGTCACCTCTGACTCAGCATCAGTGGCCTTGAGCGTTTTGATCTTTTGTTAGTTTTGTCACCCATAAATCTTTGCGTTGTTTTGGTCAGTCACTTCAGACTGTTATTTCTCTATGCACAGGGTTTTTTGGCAAAGTAAGGTCTCACAGATAAGTCTTTTGGAGTTTGGTCTTTGTTTTTCAATTTGCAGGTAATTTGAAGTGATGTTATTCTTTCTTTCCTAGTAATGCTAAATTGTTGGTTTATTTCTTTGCTGGATTGTTTTCTTTGTTTTTGTTTTGAGATTGTACTGCGAAGTCCAATTTAGAAAGCTATAATTCTCTTAGAGAAATCTTAGATTTGAGCTGTGTATTCAACCCTCAGTGAGATTGATTGACACAGTGAATAACTGTAACAGTGTGCTCAAGCATTTCAGATGAGGATGACACAGGATAAGTCAGAGTTCCAATTCTTTGGATTTCAGTCAACTCATAGACACATAACAATGTACGTTCACTAGAAAATATGAGAATCTTCAGTAAGAAAAAAACCTGTTTCTTTACTAGCAGCAAAGTCTTGAGTAACTTATTTTCAAAATTTTAGTGCTTTTGGGTGAATGTTTACAAATAATGGACTTTTCATTCAGTCATTCACAGATACTTATAACATTAATTATAATGTATAACATTAATTATAATGTATTCAAATAAGTTATAAATTACAGAGAAAGAGAAGGAGACCCTCAGCAGGACGGATTGACTGTAACAATGGAGTCAAGCATGGCAGAGATTATTATATAAAGATGGCACAAGATAGGGCCGAGTTCACATCTGTTGTTCATAATAAGGTCACAGTGAGTCGGGTTACTACCAATGGCACGTTACAAGAGTTTTTACATACTGCCATTCCCTTCATCCTGCTTAATTGTTAATCTTTGCTAATACTATAATTGTTGTCACTGTTTGTAATATGATCATCATCTGTAACAGGGTTCAGATCTTTTATTCATAGGGTCTCTGTGAGTCGTACTCAGTTCAGTAGCACCTAATAACAACAACATCTGTACCTCAGAATTTAAAAATTATTCCAGTTAAATCTAAACCAAGATTAATGCTAAATTATTGTTGTTAAGGGCTGTCAAATTCACTTTGACTCATCGCAACCCTATGGACAACAGTTCTGCACCTTACCCTATTCTGCGCTGGATTGAAGCTCAATATCAAGACAACAAAGATTCTCACCACTGTGCCTATTGGCAGCATCAGTATGGATGGTGAAGGGATTGAGATAGTTAACAGTTCTAATTTGTTTGGCTCCATAGTCAACACTCTTGGTACCAGCAGCCATTGTGTGCTATGCATTGGAGAATTAGACAATGACTAGGGATGATAGAGAATTGTGCCTTTGAGCTGCGGTGCTGGAGAAGAGTATTGAATATACCAAGGACTGCTAGGAGAAGAAACAGGTTTGTCCTGGAGAGGGTGAAGCAGGAATGCTCCTTGGAGTCAAGGATTCTGAAGCTTCATCTGACATACTTTGGGCATGTTGCAAGGAGGGACTGGTCCTTGGAGAGGGACATCATGTTTGGGAGAGTGGAGGGACAGTGCAGGAGAGGAAGACCCTCGAGGAGACAGATCAATTTTTTGATTGGGGTGGTGGGAGAGAGTGTGTCGGAGACGGTGAGGTTGTCACAGGATAGAACAGGGTTTAGGCTCTTGTACATAGGGTTGCCGTGAGTCGCAAGCGACTCGATGGCACATAACAACAACATTATGGTAGTTACTGTGTCAGTTCATCTTGTGGCAGCACTTTTCTTTCTCTGACCCTCTATGTTTTTCCCAGCATAATGTCTCCAAAAATATGGCCAAAAGCAACTAATAGAAATTACACCATCATTGCCTCTGAAAACTTCCTTCAAGGCAGATCTGGGTTTTTTTACAGTCTGTTATATGTTTATTCCTCTTCTTCATCTATAATCCAAAGGCTTAGATTTTTTTTTTTTTTTAGTCTTCCTTACACATGCATAGGAAGCAACTGAAAATACCATGGCTTAGATGAGGCACAGCTTAGTCTTTAAACTAACACCCTTGCTCTTTAAAACTTCGGAGAGGTCCTTGACAACAGATTCCCCAGTGCAACATGTCTTGCTGTTTTCACTGCCACGATCATGCGTGTTGAAAGTGGATCCAAGTTAAATGAACAATAGAACTCTTTTCCGTTTTTTTAATATACTAATTGGGAAATTTTCTCTGTGTTGAATGCTTCTTAGCTTAGTATGTAATAGTTCAAAAGTATCTTTTTTTACTTATCCACTTTTTTACTATATTTTAAACAGTATTTTACTTTACTTTTGGTTCATTGTTGTTTTAGTTACTACTATTTCCAGCACAAACTGAAAGCTTCTGAAGGATTGTTTAGTATTTATTTTTAGTTTTCATTGTTGAATGAAAACTACTCACTGTCTTCATTGAGAAAACTTTATTTTAAAATAATCTTGCTAGCAATTTGTAAAATTTGAATTATCATAGGAAAATATTAAATGTTCTAGTTAATTCTGAGTGGTACACTAATGTAGCATGTAGAGTCCAAAGCAACAAATGATAGGTTTGGGTAAAGAGAAACCCTGCTTAAGGTAACATGCAAATGCAGCTTTTATTATAAAGTTGATGCATTAAAACCAATATAGTAATCACTTTTGAAATGTTAAGCTGTAATCTATGCCAATATTTTCTTGAAGTTTTAAGTATACTATTTGAGTACTGTTAGCATTATATTATTGTCTGTTATAACTTATATTTCAGCCTGAAGTAAATGCTGATGTTGTGAATTGGCTCTCTTGGACTGCTCAAGGCTTTTTACCTCCACTTGCTGCAGCAGTTGGAGGTGTTGCCAGCCAGGAAGTATTGAAAGCTGTGACAGGAAAATTTTCTCCTTTGTGCCAATGGGTTAGTTCTGCAAATTAACATTTCTCTATTATTTAAGAGATACACTGGTGTCACAGTCATTAAGCTCTCAGCTGTTAACTGTAAGACCTGTCAGTTTGAACTGCCAGCTACTCTGTGGGCAAAAAGATGTGTTGGTCTGCTTCCATTTAGCCTTACAGCCCTTGGAACTCTCTGGGGCAGTTCTACTCTGTCCTATAAATCACTGAGTCAAAACCTACTCTGAAAAGTTTAATTTTTCATATAATGAATGTGTGGTCTGTATTATAATGTGCTTTAATTGATAGAGTTTTAAAACAACAGAATATTTTTGGTACAGAAGAGACAGGAAAAATAAACCACCAAGGGAATTTAATTCTGTTGCTTGAAACTACCAGAATCATATGTTGAGATTGTTGGAATATTAGCCTAAAGTTAGATGTATTTCCCTCAACAACAAGAGGAACTGGATGAATTTTTCATTATTTTTTTCAGGGCCAGAGGCACATCAGCAGTAACAGAACACTCTTATCACTTGGGGAATTTTAAAAGAGTAGAGGTTATCTTCCTAGGAACCAGGAAAAAGGCCATGCCTCTCTTTAGATGAGGCCAAATTTTATATAATACATAAAAAGCTATATATAGGATGAAAACATCACAAGATTCAACAACTGTCTTTTCTATTATCTTTTTTAAAAGGAATATTAGACTATCAGTTGTCACACCTTTTTAGGCCCCTTTTTTAAAACAAACATTTTTGTTTAGCCAAATAAGTTGCTTAAATAAAAATAGTGAAACTTAGTATTGGGGTTTTTTGGTTTTGTATTTCAGAACTTTTTGTCCCCCCCCCCATTAATTTAATGTTGATACTGAGAGTATGAGAGTTTAGATTCCTAAATAATATGTTCAGTGGTATATTTAATTTTAAATTTTTTTTGCTTTGAATTAACATTTTGTCTTTTTGTCTTAACTTACTAAATATTTTTTAAAAGAATAACGTATTTCTAACTTATATTTTGTAAATAATGTAACTTATTTTTTTTTTACCTTTAAGTTATATATTGAAGCAGCAGATCTTGTCGAATCATTAGGCAAACCTGAACGTGAAGAATTTCTCCCACGGTAATGTTGATATTTCAGTTCCTTTTTTCTTAGAAGTGTCTTTATAAGAGATACTTAGATTTTAATTTTATAACATCTAACTTTATAAGAGATAACTAGATTTAAGAGTTTTTGTCTATATTTTTGTTTCAGATGTCTTTTCTCCTAGATCATTTACTTCTGTAGTAATTTCTGCTCTACTTAATGAGATTACATTAAATTCCATAATAAGAGAGTATCTTTCAAATATTTATGTCGTCGTTAGGTGCTCTCGAGTCGTAGGCAACTCATAGCAACCCTATGAACGAAAGACCTGAACACTTGTATAACTTTAATCATTTTCCAGGTTCATAGGGTTTCTGGAGGCAAGCTATTTCAGAAGTGCCTCCAAGCTTGTTGGGGAGCTCCACCTAACACTGTCCACCATAGGTAATCATTTTTCCATTTGACGCATCAATGTCACAGTGTTTAGCATCACAGCAACCACGAGTTACCTCTGTACAGCAAATGGACAGACCAGTGTTATAAGACCTTGAAGAAAGATTGACCAAAAAGAATTAAAACTAGGCCTGAGGACCACAGATTAAAATCACCCACATTTGGTAGCATCACTTTCTGTCCACTAGGCCAACTGAACTCTCTCGTCGTTGTTGTTGTTGTTTTTATTGTTATTGTTATGTGCCATCGAATCGTAGGAGACTCATAGCGACCCTATGAACAGCAGACCTAAACGCTTGTATAACTTTAATCGTTTCTCCAGGTTCATAGGGTTTCTGGAGGCAAGCTATTTCGGAAGCGCCTCCAAGCTTGTTTTAATCTGGGAGCTTCACCAAACACTGCCCACCAATGATGAAAGAAAGTTTTAAATTGTGTATCATGACAACAGTTTAGCATTCATAGTACCATATTAATATTAGGTGTTAAAACGGCTATCTTCTTTATAGTAATTTATAGTAATTATAGTTATTTTCCTCAAAATACGCAAAATCCAAAGTTACACTTTCAATTTAAGTGAGTTAACAAACCTGTAGTCTCCTGGAAGAACTTTCATTTTAAATCCCTGCTGCGGTCACTGCCACTTTAGTGATTGTTACTAAAAGTATACCAGGTCATTTTGTTGTTATTAAGCCATCAGGTCTAGTCTGATTTATAACGACGCTGTGAGCAACAGATCTTAATCTGTCCCATCCTGTTCCATCCTTACCATTGCTGATATACTTGATTGCTTTGTTGCAGCCACTTTTGTCAATCCATCTCATTCAGTGTGTTCCTCTCTTTAGTTGACAGTCCACCTTCCCAAATATGATACCATTTTCCAAGAAATAGACTCTCCTAATGAAGCAGGAGTGGCATCCATTTCCTAAAAAACATGACTCTGGAAACTCTGTGAACATGAGAAACGATGGTAGTTATAGAAAGGTTTTAGGTCTTTTGTTCATAGGTTTGCTGTACGTTGTGCTTGACTCAACGGCAATTACCAACAACAACAGTCAAATAGAATAGGAAAGAATTAATTTCTTTTTTTTTTCCTTTCAAATATGAAAGTATATCTCTTACATGGGAGAAACGCTTAAAGGGCATTCATTTTAAAATACATAAAGCTATTCATAATAGTGTTTATACCTGTCCTTTTTTTCTTTTTTTTTTTTTTTGGTTGTCTTGTTTTCATCAGAGGAGATAGGTACGATGCTTTACGAGCCTGCATTGGAGACTCTTTATGTCAGAAACTACAAAATTTGAACATCTTTTTAGTAAGTATGATGGAAATAAGTAACACATTCGTTGTTAGAAGGTCCATGTTGCATATCAAGTTAATGTACTAGAGCAAATTTATTCAAACCAAGTTTAAAGTAGGAGCCAGAAAACTATGGCTGTTGGCTCAGTTCCATCCTGCTGCGTGATTTCATAATGAAAGTTTATTAATATAACCAAGACCATTCATTTTTGTGTTGTCTCTGTCTGCTTTTTCCCCCCTGCTGCTGTAGGGAAACTGAATACTTTTGATAGAAACCAAATGACCAGCAAATTTGAAAATATTTATTGTTTATCTCTTTACCGAAAAGGTTTGCTGACTTCTAGTCTAAATCAGTTTACAATTAAAATTGGTGGTGTTTTCCTGCCTCATTAATGTTAGGTAGATATTATTGAATTTTGTCTATAACATGTGGTACATGAAAAGAGAAGCTTTCTTTTCTGATTATTATTGATTCTAGAAGACTACAAACTTTCAATAACCATTTTTAAATAATGTTTTGAAAATCAGTTCTTGCTGGGTTTTTAAATGTCATCTTAAAGTTCTCTAGAGAAAAAACTAGTAACGTAAATAGAGTTATTTCTTTTGAAAAATTAGCTCACACAGTTACGAAGGTTGGCAGACTGAAATGTCAGGGGACAGGATGGAAGATTTGACAGACTGTATCCCAGAATCAGTAATATTAGTAGGAAAGAGAAGAAAGATAGCAGTCTATAGTCTAGAGGCAAAATGCTCCCTCAGGAAAATGTCAATTCTTAAGACCTTCAGCTGGTCATATAGCACTACTCACATTGTGGAAGGTAATCTGCTTTGTGTAAGGCTCCCTGAATTAAGCATACATAATACATAATTCTTTCATAACAGTGTCTAAACTTTGTGACTTCACAACTGGACACCAGGGCCTAGATGTTGACACATAAATTTATACATCACAGATGCATATGGAATCTAGTACCAGTTTTTTCTTAAAATTGATCATTGGATACTCCAAGTCAATTTAATTGTGAAAAATACCTAAAACCAAAATATTTTTTTATTAGATTGTCAGTCAGTTTTTCTACTCTTTAATTTCTTTGTGTATACAAAAGGAGCGCAAAGTTTGGGGTTTGGTTTGGAATTTAAAAGCATCTATTAGTCAAAGGAAGTACAAGTGTTACTAATTTTTCATGTTCATTTTTTAAAAACAGCATTTTACTATATTAAAATAAAATTAATCACAGATATTTAAGTTATTTAAAAGAGTATTATTGTAATTTAGCCTTTGGATAGAATGAAAATGAAATTGCTTTTTACCAATTAAGAGTTGTTATTATTTTTATCTAATCTAATTACTTTCATTTTTCTCTTGATTAGGTAGGATGTGGAGCCATAGGCTGTGAAATGTTAAAAAATTTTGCTATGCTTGGTGTTGGTACAGACAAAGAGAAAGGAATGGTAAGAAAAATGTCTTCCAGAGTTTAAAGTTTAGATTTCTCTTCCTACCTTTTTTTAACTGTGTTTATTGAGTAGATCAGAAATACTGATTTTTGAACCTGTGACATTTAACTCAAACTTGAAAAATCCTGATGGTAATTTGGCCACTTCAAAAAATTACATGATTTTATTGTAAATTAATGTCTCTGCTCCTCAGTTTCCTTATTTATAAAAGGCATTTGACTGTGTGGACCATAACAAACTGGCTGACTCTGAGAAGAATGGGAATCCCAGAACACTTGATCGTTCTAATGCGAAACTTATACTTGAACCAAGAAGCAGTCGTCAGAACAGAGCAAGGAAACACTTAGTTCAAAATTGGGAAGAGCGTACGCCAGGGATGTGTCCTGTCTCCATATTTTTCAACCTGTATGCAGAACAGATCATCCAGGAGGCTGGGCTCTATGAGGAGAAATGCGGCATCAGGATTGGTGGAAGATCTATCAACAATCTGCATTATGCAGATGACACACCCCTGCTTGCTGAAACTGAGGAGGACCTGAAGCGCTTGCTGCTAAGGGTCAGGGACTGCAGCCTTCAGTATGGATTGAGGCTCAATGTCAAGAAGACAAAGATTCTCACCACTGGACCAATTGGCAGCATCAGGATGGATGATGAAGAGATTGAGATTATTCACGGCTTTAGTCTGCTTGGCTCCACAATCAACACTTTTGGCACCAGCAGCCAGGAAATTGAAAGACATATTGCGATGGGACAGTCTGCTGTTAGGGACCTCTCTAAAGTACTGAAGAACAGTGGTGTGTCTCTGGAGACTAAGGTGCGTCTGGTACAGGCCATGGTCTTTGCAGTCACTTGCTATGCGTCAGAGAGCTGGACAATGACCAGAGAGGATAGAAGGAGAATTGATGCTTTTGAGCTTTGGTGTTGGAGAAGAGTGCTGAGGGTGCTATGGACTGCTAGGAAAACAACCAGATTCATCCTGGAAAGGGATAAACCAGGCTGCTTCTTGGAGGCAAGGATTCTGGAGCTTTGTCTGACATAATTTTGACTGGTCCTTGGAGAAGGACATCATGCTTGGGGGGGTGGAGGGCAGGTGCAGGAGGGGAAGACCCTCTGGAAGGTGGATTGCTTCAGTGACTGGGGCAATCAGGGTGAGTGTGTCAGAGACAATGAGATTGGCACAGGACAGAGCAGAGTTTAGAGCTATTGTACATAGGGTCGCTATGAGTCACAAGTGACTCAACGGCATATAACAACAACAACAACATTAAACCAGTATCTGCACTACCTACCTCATAATGTTGTGGAGTTAACTGTAAAAGGACTTTGCTGTTGTTTTCAGTGTTCATTTTTATTAGATTCTTTTTAAATGGTAAATAAATCTTTAAATGCAGAAGTTAACATTAGAAAGCCACAAAATACTTGAATGTAGTTTCAATTGGTGATTGTCAGAAGAAGTTGAAAAGTTAGAAGCTCTTTGGTACAATTTAAATTAGTTGCACAATTGAAATTTAAATTAGTTGCACAAAATCAAAATGTCTTTTAAAAATAAGTGTAGTCACTGAGTAATGTCTATCTGTGTTTCATTGACTCTGCAAAGGCATTTAGTTATGTAGATGACAACAAACTGGCTGACTCTGAGAAGAATAGGAATCCCAGAACACTTGAGCATGCTAATACGAAACCTATACTTGGACCAGGAGGCAGTCATCAAAATAGAGCAAGGGAACGCCGTATGGTTCAAAATTGGGAACGATGTGCATCAAAGATGTGTCCTCTCTCCGTATCTTTTCAATCTGTATGCAAAACAGATTATCTGGGAGGCTGGGCTCTATGAGAAGAAGTGTTACATCAGGATTGGAGGTAGATTCGTCAACAATCTGCGTTATGCAGATGACACAACCCTTCTCACGGAAACTGAGGAGGCCCTCATGCACTTACTGCAGAGGGTCAAGGACTGCAGCCTTCAGTATGGACTGAGGCTCAATGTCAAGAAGACAAAAATTCTCACCACCGGACCAATCTA